CGGAAGCGACAGTGGGGCGTTCTGGTGGGTCCTGCGGCACCCCGAGCCCCTGAACACGCCACACCCCCATGGGCCTTGTTCCATACAGTCGCCCTCACCGGCTCCGTGGACCCCGCCGAGCGCGGCCAGCCAGCGGGCAGCAGCAGGTGGCGCAGGCACGCAGCACTGGGCCCCAAAGAAACTTTGTTTCCCTTCCAGGTGGACGTGAGTCACACAGAGGCAACACCCAGCTGGACCAGAGAGGCCACAGCCCTGTCCCCCCCAGGGACAGAGGCAGAAGCTCATGGCGTGTCTGACAGTGGCACCTGGAGAGACGCTGGCAGTAGGGGTGACCCCGCAGCCAGCATGAGCATTCAGAGCAAGGCGCAGGCTGAGTTTGACAAGACGGTACAGCTCCAGAGGATGGTGGACCAGCGGTCGGTGGTTTCAGACGAAAAGAAAGTGGCCGTCCTTTATTTAGACAATCAGGGGGAGGACGAGGAGGGAGACTGGTTTTGATAAATATCTTGTTTGAAATGGCATCTTATTCGGTGAGATAACACACAAAGGCCTTTGCTTATTGTAAGGCGGGGGAGGCCCACTCTATATTAAAACCTCCACCGTATAACTTCCTCCAAAGAGTGCTCCAGGCAATGTCAATTTATTTTATAATGTATAAAGGTTTCGAATTAATTCATGCCTTAAAAGGCATTGAAACTTTATTTTTGAGTCTGGACTTTTCCAAAAAACACTTTCTATCTTTTTAGTCTTAAAAGTTCCCTTTTCTGGAGTTTAAACTCCTAGAGATGATTTTTACCGGTTTGCAGTGGCCATAGAGATGCCTCGCATCTGTTTGAAGCCAGAATTAACTATCTTTAGGTAAAATGCCTAAATGGTAACCAGATTAAAGTAATATATTTAAGAGTAAATTTTACTTGCATGTGCTAATAAATAGTAAGCTAACCTTTTAAGGGAAGAAAAAAAATCACTACATTTTTCTCTTTCCAAAGGCTCTTCAAAAAGAATCACAGGAAATAAGCAGATTGCTTAGATTTAAAAAAAAAAATCTGAAGATTTCCTCTTTAGGAAAAAGTTATTCATCGTAGAGTTAAATTCATTTTAAGGCTTGAATTTATGTGCAGAACTTTAAAAAATATTTTATTGTTGGAGCGGACAGCTCCAGCCGATTGCGATGTTTCAAATTGACAAACTTGCTGTGGACCCACGTGTGAGAGGAACAATTATTAGAAGTCGCCTACGGTACCATTTCTTTTTTGTGGCACCGAGTCATTGGTGACACACGGTCTAAATGCTCTTTTTTTGTTACTACCTGAGTCCGGGAGTAGCCAGCTCTTGTCAGAGTGTACTTGAACCTCTGTATTTCAGCTGTCAGCACCTAAACGTTTATTCCACTGGTCGGGGGGTAGACCCTGAAGACCATGGCTGGGCTGGCCAGGTGGCCATGCGCGGTCAAGTCGGAAGCTGGAGGTGGGCTGTGCTCCTAACCAGCCCTTCTCCACCCACCGCGACCGGGGTGGAGGTCTTTCTGAGCTCAGAGAGTTGGAGATGAAAAATGACAGCCAACCTCATGAAAGGGTTTGTACTTTCAACACGTTGCCGTGGCGGGGTTTTGTTTAGGGAAAAACGAGTAATGCGTTGGCTAGAAACGGATGTGTTGGGGAAGGAACCGGGTGCCTCTCCCATCGCCTGGCACAGAAGCATCTGGAAGGGGCCTCTGGGGGATTGCTGAGACAGGCCCCTCTCTGACGATCCACGGAATGCAGGCAGGCAGATTTGCATCACCAAGTTCAAGTGTGCTCGAATGGATCCATTTGATTTTACACAAGGGTATTTTGTTTTTAAAGCTTCCATTTTTAAGGCGTAGCATCACATTAAAACTAGCATCTCTAGCAGCACGGCATTTTAATCCAAACTAGTTTCTTTCACATAGCGGTTGTCTAAACTGTACTTTCCCTAACGCAGTATCAGAACTGCCTGTGGTGTCCTGGGGTTGATGATCTAAGGTGATGTCACCCTCAGGTGGGTTACGATGAGCGGGGGAGAGTAAGGCATTTGAGGGTCTTCCCTCTGGGATTCACACGATGGCCCTCAGACCCCCAAGACACACACCTGG